CGTGGACCTTGTGCGTTAGGCAGGAGGAGGGTGAAATGGGTCGCTTTGGAGGTTTTTCGTCATTAGCTCGATATAAATTAAACTAAGCATCCTAGCGATAAGATTTCCCTATACAAAAAGAAAACAAAGTATATTTCTGGATGTATGATAAATTGATATTCATGATAAGGGACGTGGAAAGAAATTCTGAATTGAGAAAACCTAATCACGAATCTGCGATTGAGGTCTATAAAAATAGCAAGTTTCCATCGTTCAAGTTTGAACCCTTTGATTGGGTGAAAGTATTGAAAAGGAATATTCTCAGATATATTTATGAACACAAAAAAATGGATATACATATAATAATAATAAATTGCCTTCATTTATCCTGGCGGAGTTTAGCAAAGCTACTATTCCACTCAACCAGGTTAGAAATGTGAAATACATTATCGCTAATAACCTATCACAAATTACAAAATATATAACTACAAAAATACAAAATGGATCACTGCTTACCAAGGATGATTTGCCTGAGCTTGATTTTGAATTATGTTACGGAATTAAGCTTCATATAATCATTGTAACTGTTGAACAGCTTGGCGGCTTGATATGAGAATGATCGCTCAGGAGTTTCTCATTCACATGCCCTCCTGTACATGTGAGTTCGATGGTGATATTCGAACTATTGATTTATTCTCGTGTTATGTTTTACTTTACTTTTTTTTTTTTTTATTGTGGTGCCTGTAGTTCCGATTGTAAAGTGTATCTGTGACGAGTGTAAAATTCTTGTAATTTTATATAAAATAAATTATCATTATCATTATGGAATGGACGAATGTTTCGGAATAGTAAGATTATCAGCAGTTCGTAGTAGTTCGTAGTACTGTGTTTTTTTGAGCTTATGCAGAAAACATACTTGATGTAGTTGCCGTCTGATATGCATTTTGAGCCATTTAATTTCTGTAATAAAAGAAGTGAGATGTATTTTACTTTTAATACCAAAATATCGAACGTATACAGGAGTTTTGAACTTTTTGTATTCGTGTTGATGTTGCTAGATCGAGACAAGGGCCATAGACAATGTCGCAGTAGTTAAAAATTGAAAGAATGAGAGTTTCACATAAAGTGATTTTCAATTTCCTAGTGAGGGTTTGTATATGAATTTTTAAACAAGCCATATGATCTTTGCACTAGTTTGTTCACATGTTTTACATATCTCAAATTATAATCAATAATTAGTCCCAAGCATTTTATCGTATCTGTAAAGGCAATGCAATGACCATCTACTTGTAATGTGACATTTTCTATTGCCGTCTGCCGGACTTTAATATTGCCAAAAACAATACCGGCAGATTTAGAAGGAATTTATATTTAATGAATGATTTTTAGATCTCTCCACCAGCTTGATGATATCATTATCAAGCAGATTTTCTTTACATATTAGGTCTTCTATTTTATCAGAGTAATATAAAGTTGAAATTCTCTAGGACCTCAGAAAAGTCCGATGTATATATTGTAAAAAACAGAGGAGCGAGAACAGATCCTCGAGGAGCTCCATTTCTCACGATTAGCTCATTTGAGAAAGATTCAATAAAGGAGCAAGAAGCGTGGTTAAAACCAAAATATTTCAGTATAGTACATAATACTTTGTGGTTCATTGAATCACATGCATTACTGTAATCAATAGAAAGCAGTAATGTAACCTTATCTTTGTCAATATTTTCCATAATATCATCCGTGACCTTCAGTAAGGCGCTAGTAGTACTGTGACTTGCTCTGAAACCAGACTGGTGTTCAGGTAGTATTTTATTTTCCGTGACGTATCTGTATATTTGTTCATAAACGATTTTTTCCACAATTTTCGAGATTGCTGGCAGTACTTTTATATGAAGGCAAGAATCCTTTAAATTTAGAAAATATGATAAATGAAGACTTGGAAATATTTGAAAAATGGCTCCACTCTAACCTTTTATCGATAAATACTAACAAAACAGAATATATGATTTTTCACCAAAAAAATAAACAAAAAATGTACCTCAACCTTAAAATAAAAATTGAACTCTAGAAACGAACTGACCACATAAAATATCTTGGTATTTGGATTGATGACAGGTTGAAGTGGGACAAACATATTGATGTTCCGACAAAAAAAATATCTCCAATTATTGGTGCATTGAGAAGATGTCCCAAACTTGATATTAAAATTGCAAACATGATCTCTACTCTCATACACTGAGTTGTATCAACTATTTGATAAATGTTTGGGGATCCTGTTCAAAAAATAATTTCAATAAAGTATGAATATTAAATAGAAGTAAAAAGTATTATATCGTCTCCCATTTGATACACCAACCAATCAATTGTATGAAATAACAAATACGTATTCTTTAGATGAAATATATAGAATTGAAACTCTTGAAATATCATATAAAATCATAAATAAAAAATTGAAGTCGAATATTATTTTGATACGGAATTCTGACATTCATAATCATGAAACTAGACAATATAACTTGTTTCATCTTGACGTTGCTAGCTCCATAGTCGGACAAAAAAGATTCACTCATTCAGCCTTAACTGAATTCAATAATCTACCTGACAATATAAAACATTGCAGAAATATAGGTATATCCAAAAATGAAGTAAAAAACCTGATTATTTCTGAGCCAACTGGATAAAATTATGTACTTCCTTACACCAGAGCCTATTCTGTCTGGACGTTATTTGTTCAATAAATAAATTAATAAATATATAAAATATTAATTGGTCTTAGGATATAGGTTTATTTATTTTATTAATTGGGAAAATTAGTGTGTTTTTCATACTGATGGAAAAGTTGCAGAAGTATTACACTTGTTGGTGATATGGGTAATAATGGGGGTGTGATAAGGGATGCATAGTTTAATCATTTTGATGGAAATTCCATCACAGCCTGTTGCGTTTGATTTTATTTTATTTATTACAAGTCCAATTTGTCCATCGTATATAGGTGTTAATTGAGAGTTCAAATTTTCAGATAGAGTATTTGATCAATAGAAACAGATTGTTTCTTCAGATGTTTCCGTAACTGCTTGGTTAACTGATGTAACGAAATGATTGTTAATATCTTCTGGGTAGCTGAGATAATCAGGAGTTGAATTTTTGTTTTTTTTTTGCTAACAATGTCAAAAAGGTGCAGGGTGTCCCATAGCTGTTTAGATTTTGTATATATTTCAAATAATCTCTTTTTTCATTTCTTGTAGCGGCTGTAACCATGTTTCTCAAATCTTTATAATGCTTCCAGTCATTTTAGTTTTTAGTTCCTTTAAAAGTTGTTAATGCTATTTTTATTTTTTATCATTATTTAGAATGCATCAGCCAGCCAAGGAGCTTGTGGTTTACTTATTCTCACGGTTTTTAGTGGCGCATGTACATCAAATAAATAAATTATATACCCGTTAAATGTATTTACAATATCTTCAACATCGTCCCTCAGATATAGATGATACCATGGCATTAGTGTAAGATCATCCTTGAAAGTTTCATACGAAAAGTTTGAAAAGATTTTGTTTTTGTTTTATAGTTTCATAGTTCAGTTCTGCTTAAAATAAACAGTGGTCGGATATTTCATCAGCAACCTCAGTGTAGGTATTCACCACTAATTTGGGGTTGCTGTCAGCAACTATATTAATTAGAGTGATACTTATATTGTTAACTAGTGTGGGTTCAATATTTATTATGGTCAAACCATAAGCTTCCAGAAAATTTAAAAAGTCACTAGTATTGATATTTGAAGAGTTGAGACGATTGGCATTTATATCACCAAGTAGAATTATTTCATCTACAAGTGGTAGAACCAATGGTTTTCTAATGTTGCAATACTGTCAATGACCCTAGTATTTGATGGTCTGTTGCTCTGAATGAGCTACTCAGAATTTTTTGAATTGAGTCAACTCTGAAATACTCTTTTTTGCAAAATGAAAGAACAACATGGTGTTCTGGTCATACATTTATAACTTGTTGCATTATTACAAAGAGTGGCAGTTTAACAGTTGAAATAACATAAGTTATAATAATTACAATTATTATTAATTATAATTAAATATAATTAATTATGATTAATTTTAATCAACATAATAAAATGATAATTATATTATAATTATTATTATCATAATTATTATATTATTACTGATAATAATAATAATAATAATAATAACAACCTAAGCTAGCAAAGCCACAGGTTCCTTTAAAAAAATGAACTGCAAAAAAATCAATAGTAATGCTCTGCCTCATAAAATCATCAAAATCTGCTTTTGATAAAAATGCATAATGCCTAGTAAATATCTGGAATATGGACAAACCAATTCATTTCTTTTTCTAAAATCATAGAGCAAAACATTTTGAAATAGGGTGAATAATAAGCATAAAATTAGCATTCAAATCCCAATGAATGGAATTGGTAAAAATTATATTTTTTCAAAAATGGCTCTGCTGAGTTCACTGGAAGCAAGCAAAGCCACAGGCTTCTTTCAAAAAATATGCAGCAAAATTGCCTTTGATGGAAATGCATGATGCCTAGTGACTAATGGGTATTTTGACAAATTGTTTCTTTTTTTTTGCTAAAAGCATTGAGCAAAAATTTTGAAAATAGGGTAGTTAATTAGCCATTTACACCTAATATGGCAAATTGGTGAAAAATCTATCCTGTTTGCCTGGAGCTAGCAAAGTCACAGATTTCTTCATGAAGATGAAAGAGAAATATGGGAATTGGGTAATAAAATAGCCTATATTACTATATGAAATCATCAAAAACTATTTGTTTTTCAGAAATGGCTTTGCTGAGATTGGCAGAACCTAGTAAAGCCACATATTTTTTATGAGGGACAAAATAAGGAATAGGGTAATGAATCAGCCTAAACTTATGTGATAAGTCTCATGTGGAAATTTGTCAGTGGTTTTGCTAACTTCTCCAGTATATTCCCACAACAGTTTCTCTGTGTAAGAATAACCCACTATAATTACTAGATTCTAAGGATACTAACATCTTTGAAGTCCTTTGGGTAGTCAGTGGTTATTAGTGTAAAAGGATTAGAAACTTTCTTCAGGAATTGAATCATGTGTGGAGCACTAATAGGACCACTATATTGCACTCCTCTTCCATGTGCCAAGTATGCTATAAGAACAGGCCACCTATAGACTTTACTATATTGATTTCTGCATTCACTGTGAGGTTGCCAGCAATTCACAGCAGCAAAATTCACGAATTTTGTCATATATTCAGCAGCTAACTCAAACTCTTTACGTGCTGCTTGGCTTTCAGCATCCCAAGGAGCATAGAACATAATAAAAGCAATATCACCAAACCTAGAGGATTCTATGGCCCTACTGATTTCTCCTTTGTACCAGTCAGTTAAAAAAGCTTTTTTTGTGAAAAATGGATAGGCTGCTGGAGCTTTAGATATTTTTGGAGGACTGAAAAAATAGAAAATATAACTTCTCTCATTAGACCAAATAGAAAAATATGTACACAAAAAAAATAATGCCAATTGAAGTAATCTATGTAGGTATAGATACTAACTCTTTTGTTAGTGCTGCATATGTTACAATTATGAGACAGAAAATTGCAAGTTCCCTACAAAAATTCATCATTCTTATAGTTACTGAGGGAACTTCGCTTCTTGAAAAGCTTTGAGCTTTCTTTTCCACTTCAGGTTTGATGGAATCTGTAGTAAACTTGGAAGTTTTTGATTCGTTGATATCATTATCAGCTGAATCTTGGTTGCTGGTGGACAATATTTTGGTCTCCTTGAACGTTAATTTTAATAAAGACATGCCCGTAACGCCTCATTACCCATAGGTATATTTTACCCAAACCCAACAACCTACAACATCTCTCATCTAATATCCAATAATAATTTATCCTTTCGAATTGTTTCAACTGAAAAAGATAAAAATATGGAAAATTGGAAAATTAAACATTTAGACTACATTTTACATTTTGACACCTTATGTCAGTTGTCACTTGTCAGTGGCATGGACATGGGACATGGACATACATGGGACTGACATGGGACAATAGAGTGACGACAATAGACATTGTCTGGAATGTCAAGTCACTTGAAGTAGCTAGGGTCCCTTGATGGAAATTGACATTAAAGTCATCTTAACAGGGTACCTCGGACACCTCGGACAGATCCTCGTCTCCTCTCACTCTAAAGTGTTTGTGAAACAGTTATATAGTTCCATCCTTATTCAATTCTGGGGATAAACACTAGATTTGTGACATTCGTTGTTTTTTAGGTTATATTGAGGGCACTGGCGTATCATACGTAATTTCCATATGGAATTAAGGGCGCCGTACATTATGCTATTTCTCGGCAAGTTTGAGGCAATGCAATTTTCTCGCAATTTTCTCATTTTATTGCAAGTCGCCGTACATTGAGATATTTCTGTCATATTTTCTTGTTCATATTCACTATTTTCAGGTTTTTTGAGCTTTCAATGTAGTTTTTGAGGTTATTTGGTGTTTCAGGCCAATTTATGGAGAAAATTTGTATTTTATCAAGATGCTACGATGAATATTACTAAAAATTTTACTAAACTTGCCTTGAAATTGCAGGAAAGATAGGACTGGTTCTATTACGGAACTTGCATGAAACTTGCCGTGAAATATCATAGACGCATGCGCATTGTTCGATTCAAAATTGCATTGCATCGAACTTGCTGGTAAATAGCATAATGTACGGCGTCCTTTACTCAACTATACCAAGATATAGATTAAAAATCCTCTAGTTTTAGAGTTTACTACTACAGCACAATCTTTGCGAGGTAGGGAACATATCAATTGTACTGAAAGCTTAATATATTTCACCTAAGATGACTAGAGACATCTCAATTTCACCAAAAGAGACTGTTCTTAGACTGTATACCAGGGTTGACTGAATTTAATGAATGAATTCTGATTTCAAGCTGAGCAGTAGTTTATCTATGAGCTGAATAAACAGAGCCTTTTGATTGAGAAATGGTGGAAACCTCGGTGTGGGTATCTAAACTACTGTGCTCATATGTAATGTTTGCTGAATGTATATTCGTTAATTCAACTCGGAGAAGAATTTATGGAGTTACCAATATCACACTATGTATAAAACTTCGTCTAGGACGAGAAGTAGGCTGAAAAAAGAATATACTCCACCTGATGTTTCCCTCTCCCTTGAATAACAAGTCATTTTCGAATAATTTATTGATGAAAGTAACAATAAAGAAGTAGGTATTCGCAGTATATCTTGAAGGCACGTTATTTTCACTCTTGCATCCTACATATTTTCTATTTGTGGTAGAGTAATAATAATAATATAAACTCATGTCTTTCGCCATATTGAATCCATCATCTTGAATTTTCCAAAACCACCATATACCACATTTGAATAGAATCGGATCTTCATTACAAAACTCGTTCACCATACTGGATTCGCCATCTTGAGTATCCCAATTTTGACGAAATAATTATAATCTCCGACCCCGGAAATCCATAGATACTAATATTGATTTTTGAATAGAATCGGATCATGATTACAAAATTCGTTCGCCGCATATTGGATCCGCTATCTTGAATTTCACAATTTTGACAAAAAATCATGAAGTTCAACTCCGAAAACCCTCAGATAGGTACCATCAATCTTAAATAGAATTAAATCATAATTAGAAATTTATTTCGCTATATATTGGATCCGTCATCTTAAATTTTCCAAGTTTGACGAAACAATCATTATCTCCAACCCCGGAAAACCCCAGATATCTTTCAATTTTTGAATAGAATCGGATCATAATTACAAAACTCGTTCGCCATAATATGATCTTCCTCAACAACAACAAGTAAATACCCTGTACATACCAATTATCAAAATTTTGAATGATTTTCTGTAACGCCCATGGATGTGACGTGACAGCAATGTCAGTGATACCAGTAGACAAAACTAAAGTCCCTAGACCATTAAAAATTGGCTATGATCTGTCCGTACCCTGTTAAGATGACTTTAACGTCAATTTCCATCAAGGGACCCTAGAAGTAGCTATAAAGGCCCGTATTCATAGTCGTCTCCTCAAGAACTCCTCAAGTCTTCCTCATCTGAGGATCTCTTGAGGATTCCTCAGCACTTGATGTTAATATTGTTTTATAGATCTCCCTTAAGTAGTCCTTCTGGAAGGAGCCCTCACACTTGGCAACAGTGTATAATATTATTGTTCTATGACAAAATTTGTTGTTTCATGTCACGTGTGTTTCACAAAATGTAAAATGTCAACTTCGAATGTTTCATTCAAATTGGGGGCCGTGCCTAACTATGGCTGTGTCAAGTCTGTAGTTTGACCGGGGGGCACATACGTTCAGTATAAAGTCAGACCATCAGTTTGACCAACCAGCTGTTTGGGAATATCGGTCACGTTTCAAACCTACGAAAGCACCCTGGTGTCACGCACACTTTTCTTTTTTTGGAAACTCATTATAATGACTTTTTTCTCATTATAATGAGTTTTTTCTCATTATAATGACTTTTTTCTCATTAAATTGACTTTTTTTTCATTATAATGACTTTTTTCTCATTATAATGAGTTTTTTCTTATCAAAATGAATTTTTTCTCATTATAATGAATTTTTTCTCATTATAATGAATTTTTTCTCATTATAATGACTTTTTTCTCATTATAATGAGTTTTTTCTCATTATAATAACTTTTTTCTCATTATATTGACTTTTTTCTCATTATAATGACTTTTTTCTCATTATATAGGTATAATGATTTTTTTATTATTCGCCTTTATATTTTCTGTGTAAACATGATTTCTTTGGTTTAGATTATCATTATTAATTAGATTTCTTATGATTTATATCAAAATGGATGTGGTGGCCAATTATATTGCATACTACTTTTTATTGGGTCTTAGTTGCGAAGAAATTATGGCTTTCCTGACGGTATATCATAAACAGTGTATAAGTTTATCAACAGTTAAACGAATATTGAAGATAATGGGCCTCTACAGAAAGAAATATTTTACTCCCTTACCAGAAGTTTTGAATTTTATAGCCGAACAAGTTGAGAAGTACGGACAGTTACACGGCTATCGATGGATGCATTTGAAATGCATCCAGCAAGGATTTGTAATTACGAATAGAAGTGTGAGAATTATATTGAAAGATTGGACCCTATTGGTGTTAGTCTTAGAAGCAGGAGAAGACTCTGAAGAAAGAAAGTAAATTCATTATAATGAGAAAAAACTCATTTTCATGAGAAAAAACTCATTATAATGAAAAAAAAGTCAATATAATGAGAAAAAAGTCAATATAATGAGAAAAAACTCATTATAATGAGAAAAAAGTCATTATAATGAGTTTTCAAAAAAAGAAAAGTGTGCGTGACACCAGGGTGCTTTCGTACAAACCTGCTCGCGAAGTTACCACGTTATTTTTAATGGGAGTCGAGTAAACCATTCACCATCCTGTGGTATCACCACTGTGGTAGGACGGATGACTTGACACAGCCTATATTTCCTCGATCACAGACAAAATATGTCTAAGTTTTCCCAAAATGAAGAAGGGGTCGAACAGTTTATCGATGACGATGTTGGAAAGTCACAATACAAAAATTTTTGTGCTGCAATGGAATAATATGCCAAGCAGAGCAAGAATATTGAATACTTCGAATGCATCTGTGATTTTTTGTGGTTGTTCATTGAAAATGTATGTATTTCAATTTCATGATATAGGTATATATAATCGTAAATATGCTGAGTTTCCATTATTTGTAATAAATACCTATTCCTATTATTCGAAATAAAAATAGTAGATTGTTTTATTAGGATCAAAAGTGACACTTTGTTTGACAAGCGAATTTTGCAAAATTTGCGAGTCGAACAAAGTCACTTTTGATCCGAATGAAACATGCTATTTTTTCTGCAACCGAAACAATTAACTCAAATAAACATGTGAAGTATTAACCACCCATAATGCCGTGCCATATGTATGCAATGCAACAAATATTGACAAAAAATCCATGTTGTGAGAATATTCTACCTGCATTAACAGCAGGTTAGATTTTCTAAGATGTTTGAATTGTAGTTTCAATATAAGTACAACCACAGAGTGACATATTTGTGTATGGACCAGGTGCTCTAATGGCTAATACCGCGCCAGTGCCATCAGCTATAGGAACAAGACGTGGAAAATGTTTGGTTAGTGAGCATATCAACAATGATAATAGAGTTTATTTATTCCTCTCCATACTACACTGTGTTTGACTTGATAATCAAATGAAGCTAAACAATATCGTTGTTTGAGACAAAAAACAATTGCTTGCCGTGATTATTCAAAAACAAGTTATCCATCCCGAGAATAACGAATGAAATACAGATCACGCAAGTATTTGAATCTTGAAGGCTTCCCTGATCGAAACAAAAATACTTAACTGAGATCCCAATCAGCACCAGACATCTTAAAGACGTACATTTTACGACTTACTTACGTCTTTACGTCCAGGGACGTATAAAGTACGTCTTTAAGATGTAAATCCATGTACATCTTAAAGACGTACACGAATTTACGTCTTTAAGACGTACATTTTAGGTCGTATCCACGTCGTTCCTCCCATGTCGTATAAAAGACGTCTCAAAGACGTACATTCCAGTAAGTCAAGTCGACTTATAGAACAATAATGTAAGTTATTTTCTGAAGAAAAACAAAATGTCATCTCTTCACGTTTTTTATTTTCAATTGTTCAGTTTTTTCTTATTTTCAACAAAAGTGATGTTTTTGAATTTTTTCGTCCGACATTTTGGAGCCT